ACTGTCAAGGAAAAGCTCTGGTTCACATGCTCAGGTCTAGAATAGGTAAGAATTAGCTCCACCTAATGGGAGCTTAAAAGTTTCAGTGTTTACTTTTGATTTCAAAGGGCATCTGTTCAAGTGTTGCCACCACCTCTTGTCCATAGGCAAGCTTCAGGCCCACCTCCATCTCTGACAAAAGTATGTGCAAAGCACTCTGCTGGCATTGTGAGAAAATCTTCCAAACCAAAATGAGAAGGGCAGCCAACACTGCCACCCTAGCCCCGGGAATCATTTCTTTGAAGGGACAAGAGTAAACTTTGGAGAAGAAACCACCTTTCCTGGCTTGCTTTTTATTTAAATAAAAAATAGGTTTTGTTGCATGCTCTCCCTTTAATGTAAAGCCAGGCAAACCCAGAGTTTGTGTGTCCTCATGAGGGAAGATATTTTTTAGCAATTTCCATATGACCAAAATTCTATTTAGGTTCTAAAACTCTTGCCTCTTCAGATTTATGTTTACTCCAACCGAAAGGTGTCCTTAAACTAGTCAAGAATGAGAGCCATGACTAGATGACATAACTAGATGAAAGGCCCCAGATCCCAGAAGTTGACACTCTCTTCCTCTGCTGGGTGTCCAGCAGAGATTTTAGAGCTGGACAGTTGGGAAGCACCAAATTACCTGACATGTAGGGTAATATAAATCTCAATCCAGATGCAACAAAGTGTATTTTCATGGCCATTTACTACAAATAACAAAGCACTGAAGCACAGGCAATTGATAGTGTGATTCCTCCCAGTGCCCATGGAATAGGTAAGCCATAGGTCCAAGTGGATCCTGGCATAGTTCAGAGGGAATCCTTTCCTCTCCAATGGTAGATCACATGGGCCACAGGCTCTAAGAATGTTTCAAAAAGCAATTTTCTGGATAACACGAAAAGGCATCACTATTAACTAAGCACCCTAAACTGTTCCATTAGTACTTGCTTCTCACAGGTATTGAGACTTATGTCTATAACAGAAAAAGATGCTCTCCTAGTCATTACCTAACGAATAATACTTTACTGTGTCCCTTTCTAAAATCTCACTTGACCCTCACCCATCTGGGCAGGACCATATGGATAAAAGGGCCTGTATCTTTTAGCTTGTATCTGGTGTGAGCTCCTGTTTGAAAGTTGAGTGGGCCATTTTACCTACCTCAGGGAGTGCTGCAATGCAAAAAAAAATTAGATTTCTATTCCAGAAAAACAAAGGATGAAATTATAAAATACTGGTTAATTTTATAAGATAGCCACAAAGGTTGTAAAGGTTAAGACAGAGGAGGAAAAAAAATGGTGTAAATGATATAGGCTGTATTCATCCCTCTGGCAAACAAAGTTGTGACAGAAACAAGGAGCAGCAGCAAGGAAAAATTGCCTGGGATCTAGAGGAAAAAAACTGTAAAATCCAAGAAATCACCCTACAACAGCAGAAGGTAGGACGGTGAGAGGATGCGGGGCTGCTTGGTCTCCAGTGGCTAAGTGAGATGGAGGCTGCAGCAGCAGCAGACACCTCTTAAAGGGGCCATGTCCGCAAGCAGATTTTCATGGTGACAGACCTGCTCGCTCTGAGCATCATTGCCCATTCGGCTGCACGTAGCGGGCACCAGGGACTTATAGGGAGACAATGTCAGAGTGAGGGCCTAGGTAAGACACTGTACAGAAGTGCTGGCGGTATCCATTGTTCTCTATTGAACCCTCCCCATTTCCAGTGCATCGGACACAACGTGGCCATAGCCAAGATGTCATCAACCTGGATAACAGATTGTTCCACCCAGAGGATTCCCTGAAACCCACCTCCCCCAACTCACGGCCCTACTCAAGCCACATCCAGGTGTATCCTCAGCGAGTCAGGTGCTCTTTGCTGAGCAGCACCTAGACTCACAGTAGAGGCAGCTGGCTCCAGTTTCTGGTGTGGCCTTGTGAGGAAACTATAAGCACAGCATCTGTGGATTGCCTGTTGAATCTTCACTGGTGGCCCTGGAGGGGCAGAGGCTTGGGCTAAATTTGGCCTGCAGCTGAACCCCTCCCAGGACTGTGCCACTGGACACCTACTTCACAAATCCACACTAATAAGACCGGGAGACTTAGGAGCTTTGCTTAGTACACAGAAACAGACACAGAAAGGCAGCCAAAATGGGAAGACAAGCAGAAACCATATGAGAACAGAACAGTGATCCAGATATAATGGAGTCAAGTAATCTAACAGATGCAGAGTTTAAAACACCGGTTATAAAGATGCTCAATGAACTTTTGGGAAGAAGTATAGATAAATTCAGTGAGAACTTCATAAACATAAAAATGAAAATGGAAGTTATAAAAGGGAACCAGTCTGAAATGAAGAACACATTATCTGAGATGAGAAGTATATTAAATGGAATAAACAAAGTAAATAAAAGGATCAAATGCCCTATCTAGAGGATGGGAAAGCCAAGGACATGCAATCTGAATGGCAAGAGATGAGATGCCAAGACTATAAAAATAAAGAGCATATGGGACACTATTAAGGGTCCAAATATCCGTCTGATTGGCGTAACTGAAGAAAATCAAGATGTTGAACAGCTGTTTGAAGAAATAATGATGGAAAACTTCCCTAACCTGGTGAAGGAAATGGACATAAAACTCCAGGAAGCTCAGAGAATTCCAAAAATCAGGAATCCGAAGAGGCCCACACCAAGACACGTCATAATTAAAATGCCAAAGGCTAAATACAAAGACAATATTAAAAGCAGCAAGAGAAAAACATAGTTACTTATAAGGGAAAACCCCTAAGACTAGCAGCTGACTTCTCAAAAGAAACTGTGCAGGACAGAAGGGCTTGGCAAAAAATACTCGACAGGATGAAGACCCAGGATCTACAACCAAGAATAATTTATCCAGCAAAGCTATCATTTAGAGTTGAAGGACAGATAAAGAGCTTCCCAGACAAAAATAAGCTAAAGGAATTTATCACCACCAAGCCAGTATTACAGAAAATGTTGGAGGGACTTCTTTAAAAAGAAAAAACGTGTATCAAAAACAGGAATAAAGCATAGTAACAACTACAGTCCTATCAATAAGTACCTCAAATGGAAAAGAATTAAGTGCTCCAACTAAAAGAGTGGATGAATGGAAGGGAAAACAAGACCCCAACATGTTGCCTACAAGAGACTCACTTCAGATTAAAAGACACAGACTAAAAGGAAGGGGATGGAAAAAGATATTGCTTTGATGGACCTAGAAAGTATTTAAGTCAGACAGAGAAAGATAAACACTACAAGATTTCACTTATATGCGGAATCTAAGGAATAAAAAGAACAAACTAATCAAAACCAGACTCGCAAATATAGTGTATAATTTGGTGATGAACAGAGAGGAGAGTTTGCGGGGCTGGGAGAATGGAGTGAAGGGTTAAAGAAGTACAAACTAGTAGTTGATAGATGGTCACAAGGATGGGGAGCACCACATAGGGATTGCAGTTAGCATTAATACGTTGGCTAGAGGGAGGGTCGGTGGGAGAGGGAGTAATTGGGGAGATCGTTTTATGAACTATATAGATGTCTAACCAATGTACTGTATACTTGAAACTAATTAAAATATAGAAAAAAATAATTTAAAAAAATAAAGGTAAGACAAAAAGAAAAACAGAGGCAGCTTAAACTGAGGAAATAATGAGAGAATACCCATTAGAAAATGGTATCAGAAATTTTGATTTTGGTTAATCAGAGAAGTCTTCAAAAATAAACTGAAGGAGATTGGGGCAGGAGGATAATCCGTCCACAATTTAAGCTTGAGGTATGCAATGGATACAGGATATTATTTTATTGGGACACTCTATCTTACAGGGAAAATAGAATCCATGATGAGAAACCTATGGAAAATGCATTTTAAAAGTGAATAATCACACTGATTTTTTTTACTTTATAATTTGTTTTTTTAAGCCTCACAAATCTGTACAAATCATGAGACTGGAAAGAGCCTAGGGTACATTGGAGGAAAAGCAGCAGCTAAGGCTCACCAAGCACATGCCTGGCCCCCTGACATCTTAATTCTCACCACAGCTCTTTGTGGGAGCTATTTCTATGATCTCCATTTTCCAAGTAAGGCTTGGGGACAGAAGTGGCTTGTCCAGGGTTTTAGACCAGAGATCCTGATTCTTCATTGGTCTACCCTACTAGTCACAAAAGATTTAGAGATAGAAGCTGCACAGAGATGTGGCCCATTTAAGGTGTGCAGCCTGGCCTTAGCCTTGCACCATGGGCAAGAGTCATCTCACTTCTCTGCCCACAGACACCGTGCTCCCACAGCCAGCTCTCTTCAGCACTTCTGGTTGTTCAATTACCTGAGTTTACCAGTAAATTAAGCTAAGGAAGGATCCACCATCTTATTCACCACTATCCACAAGACCAAGCACCATGAGTGAATCCTGCTGTGATTGGCTATTACATTGCTGTCCCCCAAATGAAGTCCCTCTCTCAGTATTTATGGCTAGAGATAAGTACTTAGTAGTGGGTACTAAGCACGAAAGAAGAACAGAGAAAGGATAAAGAAGATATATTAACTAAAAGAGTAAAATTAATACCAGAATTTCAGAGCAAAGCAGCACTGCACTAAAATATTTCCTGAGAGGCCATGTGCATGGCAACTCAAGTCTAGAAGACCACGGCCTCAGGCTCCCTCCAGAAGAAGAGAATATGGGCTTTAATCGGCAGCCTGGGAGAACTTCTAGAGAATCTATAGATCGACTGACTGCCTGGACCAAGCTGTGGAATCTTGTCAGTTAGTTTTAAAATAAAGGCAGATTTTTATTTTTTTTTTTTGGTAGGGCGCCTCTTCCCATGAACTGATGGGTACCCGAGGCTTGTGGTTTGACTCTCACTCATCTCTTTAAAAAAGATGAGTGTGTGTGGTACTGGGATATATGGATGGCATAAATTTCAGGTAGAAATAAGAAAATAAGGGATCTGGTTTGCCTCAGTAGGGGAAAAAAAAAAGACTATAAAACAGTCACATTTAAAGGTACATTGTTGAGAAATCCAAAATAGTAAAATCCACCTGCCATTACATCAACATAAAAAAATATGCATTTTTAACAAAAAGTTCAACTGATATTCAAAAACAAAATAAAAAAGAGGATATAGTTTATAAATATGTAAATATCCATGCATTCTTTTACAATGATAGCTAGCTACTTGAAGAATAAGAACTTTTAAATTGACACTTTCATTCCAGCTGCCTCTTTCCTACATTTTGGTGATACCAGGAGTCTTAACAGCTGCTGCAGTCAATGTCACATTTGTCCCAGCCTCCTTTTGAGCCTGTAGTTGATGATGAAAATATGATGAATCTTCTGCCTTAGCTTTGATGCTGGGGGGAAAAAAAAAGGTTATATAGCTATGCAGTCTAGTGAATCAGATTCATAAAATATAGCAGTGATGCAATACTTATGTATGACCTACATGGTGAGTAGACTCAAATTATTACTATTTTACTACATACGAAAAATAATCAGCAGAACACTGACCATCCCATCCATCTGAAAGTCAGAACCTATTTTTTTTGTCTTGTCATCTGTGATCTATAAATGTTCACAATTTAAAGTGATAACAGAAATACTTAAAATATAACTTTTTCCTGGCATGTTCCACAATGAAGGGTTCTAAAAGCAGAATCACACAAACACTTATTGTTCTAAATTAAAATTAGTTGAATCCAGGTAGTAATTCACAACATTTCACATCAAGTCAGAATATTTAGGAGATGTGAAGGTTAAGTATTTCTGGATTTCACACTATTAGAAACTGTAAATGCTTGTCTTCAAATAGTGGCAAAGCAAAACAGATACATTCTTTCTGGGTTCTCTCTAGCACCTTTGATAAATTTAAACTTGGCTTTAGACAACTTTTAAGCAGGGTGTGAAGAAATCATTTTGGCTGTCACCTTGTATTTGAATGGATTTCCTTAACATTTAGCAGTGTGAATGAATCAACCTGAGTCTTTTTAGTAATCAGAGTTTTCAAGGTATGACCTATTTCCTAGCCAAACCTATTGCTCTAGTCTTTGAGAAATGAAAAAAGCAAAATTCCTCAGCAAAAGCAAAATATAAGGTCTTTCTACTTTTAGGAGAATGCAGTATGACCTAAAAAAACCATCTTTAGGCCAAAGGGAAGGAGATTCCCTAAGCTGTCTCTCAAATTTCTGATCAGACAGACCAAGATTATAGCAGCACAACAGCTGCCACTGGCTTTGGTTGCTGCAAGTATGGTCTTTGACACAAGTTGGCAAATGATTCATTCATCCTGGGCTCCAGGCAACAGACTGGCCTGTGGGATGAGACAGGTTTCCCGGCTTCTAGTGAATAAAGGGAAAAGGTAGTTCCACTGAGCATTTATCTTGGGGATACAAGACAAAACTTGATTTTACTAATCTGATAGGCTGAATTTTTTTTTTTTTTTTTTTTTTGAATACAAATACTTGTCACCTTAGAACCACATCTCCTTCCATCAAGGGTATGGCTGCTCCATTACCTTCGAGCTTGCCAAGACTGGACATAATCCACAAATAAAGAACCTCCTGCAATGCAGGCACACTTGTTTTTCTAACTTCTCTTTCACATTTCATATAGTCACTTTCTATTCTGCCATTTTCCCTCTTGGATAAAAATGTTTTCAAGGAAAATGGACAAGTAATTAAGCTGACAAATTCTTTGGGCCAATAAATGACAGCTTCCTAGTCAATCACTCCTTTTTCTCCTTAAGACAATGCCTTGGAAACATTAACTCTGACAGTCATAGTAATAACACCCTTCCTGAGAGAGCTGCTACTCATTTGTTAATTATTGGTTATTAATGGGTAGAGCTGGTCAACCACAAAGGCTGCTGGTAGGTAGGTAACTAGGGATGACTGTTAGATAATTAAGATTGTTTGTTCAATATATTTGTGACTAAATCCCCTTCTTTCAAAAGAAAAAGCATATGCTGCAACTGTTTGACAAATACCACCAGAGGCCAAAGCTCATTTATTTTCTTACAAAAAAGTTGGACAAACCGCAGAGATGTACTTGCCCCAAAACTGCAGAATAGCCATAAAGTATTTTTAAAATCTTACCTTAAAGAGCTAATGTCCCTAAGTCATCTTCATTGTCTAGTCCTAAGATACCAACAATGCCAGGTGATTCATTTCTACTTGGTAGCTAGCTTTAAAACCCAACTAAAGTCCAATGTTAGAGCTAAAGATCAATTCTGGGCAGAACTACAACAGACATTTTCAGGTGCATGGCTCAACATCAAGGGTTTTTTTTGTTTGTTTCTGGGCTGGCAATGTTGCTTAAGGTTTACCAGCATCTATTACATGTAAAAACCTCAAGCAAGACACAAAAGAACTACTGCAAAGTCCCCATGGCTCTCTTTCCAGTGGGCTCTCAAGGTAGCCTTCAATGGAGAAGGGACAACCTTCAACATCGCCCAAATCTGTCATAGCACACGGATCAGATGACTCATTCTCAGGATGGGCTTGCCTAGAAGAGTCTTAACAACTGGCAAAACTGCGTGCCCTCTAAGTACCTCACTTTTCAGCATCAACTTGAGTTTTATTTTCAGTGGCATCAACAGTCTAAGATTAAATTTGGTTACTTACTGAGAAAACGTAAGTTATATTTGAAGGAAGCTGAAATACATGTAATACCAAAGGACTACAGAAGTATAGGCTTCCTGCAGGCTTCTTCCAGGTAGTTAGGTGCTAATGTTTAGTATGATGGCAAAGCTGGTTTCAAAGATGCCAGGTTCATGCCTGAGGACTCTCCTCAGGAGGGTACTATTGTGTAATGACTGTCAAAAACAAACATTCCAGGGCAGGGATCCCTTTACAGTGTATAACAGTTTAAAGAGATCTTTCCTCTCAACACACATACACTTCCTCACAGTGGTCTATGGATGTTAAGGATATGCATATCAATTACGAAGCCATTTTAGTCTCTCCTGGGGGCTGCAGCCCAAATATCATGAAGTGATCTGATCTCAAATAGCCCAGCATGACTGGAAAGTGTACAGCTACATACAAGGCAGAGAAGTATACTGTAATAGAAAATTGATGTGAAAGATCTTAGGGAGGGCAGAATACCTTAGGAGTAAAACACAAGGAAAGAATCTGCCACACGCAGTTAGGAAATAAAGGTTCACCCTATTCTCTGCCTGCCTCTCCCTCACAGGGTACACTTAGGCAGCCAGCAACTATCTAGCCACCCCCTACCTAGGCCCCAGGAACCTCATCAGTCTGGGGCACTGAAGGACTGACTGCCCAGAGATTTTTTTAAAGTATTACATGAGGGGATCCAACCAGTCGCACAGAAGGGAAACTCTTTATATGCCCTGCCTTCCAAAATAAGACCCAACTAGGATGAGACAAGAGCTTACCTGTTTCTGAGGACAGAACTAAGAAAGAGGCCAGCAGCCTTTTAATGTATTGTTTTGGTCAATTTTGTAAGCATTTTCTGAGCACCTTCTCTGGATTATGCTATAGTATGCTTTGGAGTTAGAAAGACTAAAACTCTAGGCATCCCCTCAAGAACCTTCAAAAAGAGGCCCAAGTAAAGTGACAAAGAAACAAACTTTGGGAGACCTAGACAAATGATGAAGAGCATGTCTTGGGAGATTCTGAAAAACAGCTGGGTAGCTCAGCCCCACCATCTCAGCTTCTTTCTGCCACACTCTCCACAGCCCAGCCCCGGGATCCAGATACAAGGTTCTACAGGCAACAGCTCACAATGTAAAAAATCCACGGGCTCATATCAAACCCTACAGAATACAGAACAGCTATGATGTGTGGACATTAACCCATCTACATTCCCATCAGCAAATCGGAGAGGCCAAACAACACTAGTCAGTCTCTCACCTTTTGGGTTAAGAATGAGTTAATGTTACCAACCAGATTTTTTAATAAGTGGGAAATTGTAGCACTTTAGCCAATATTTTCTTCAAAAATCAAGCAAAAAGGTCAGAACAATGTTCCTAGAGGAACTGAAGAGGTTAGGTTTGTATGTTACTCCACCAACAATGCATAATTTATCATTCTGTGTTGTTATCTAGATATAAAGGTTTATACCAATTATGGAGAAATAAAAATGAAAGAGTTTAGATCTTTGGGATAGTAAACAAACATTCAGGAAACAATATATACTCATAGAATATTTCATCATACATACAGGGGCCTCTAACTGTACCATTTCAAATGTACTTGGAAATCCTATTTACCTTTTTCATTAATTCACTTCTGGTAGTAAACTGTGGCAGGTCTTCCACTTCAATCCCATTAGCCATTTCCATCACCTTCTCTAAAAGGTCTTTGTTGTAACTGCACAATAAAGAGTAGTAAGGTTAAGAACCTTGGAAGAATTACTTGTTAGTATGGGGCTAACAAGAAATTGCAGGCAAATGGACTGTAAACTCAACTCAGAGGACTGATTTGATACTACAGGGGAAAACCAATACATGTTCAGCAGCAGGTTAGTTAACAGTTCTTCCCACTTGGGGATACAAAAGTGGCTCTAGGAATGCCAATAGAGCAGGTGTTTCAAATTTACAAAACAAACAAAAGATTTACAAAAATAGAGGCACTGTACATCTGGCAGTACATATTCGTGGATATGGTATGAGGGCCAAAAAATTTTTAGTTTTTGAACACATGGAATGTTGGTCTAATGAAAATAACATTATTTGTTTATTCTTCCACTTTTCTGACATTTGCTGAATCTTGGATCCTGTTAACTACAATTTCCAGGGGCACCTAGGAGACAGAGAAAAAGGATGGATGCAAATGGTGCTGCTTCTCAAAATCCTGTTCTAATAACTCCTAACATGTGAAATCAAAACCAGGTGGCTTAGGGCTAGAGGAGCCATGTGACCAGAGTCAGATAGCCACAAGGAGCACAGAAAGCAGGACTAAGCCAAGTCATCTCATCCTAATACAATTTCAGGAAAAGCTAAAATAAAAGAACGTGGGAGCCTCAAGATTTGCTACCACCTTCATGGTGGGGTAGGAGGGCGGGGTGCAAGGCATCTGTTATTTTCATAAGAGGAAAGCAGTGAGGCGAAGGCTGGCTCTTGCTCAGGGTCCAGCCAACTGGGGAGTGAGGAGAAAAAGGCAAGAGCCACATATTACATCCAGCCATAAATCGTAAAATCCATCAATCCTGCCTGAAGCTCAAGGCCCTTCCTTGGTATATCACTTCCCCTCTCTCAGCTTCACCGTATGTAAATTGGCGGTCTCAATTTCTATCTCTGCATTTGCTATGTGGGTGAAAGGAGCTAATGGACTTAAAATACACTGCAAAACTGATGGTTTGAGCTCATACTGGCAACACAAATAACAATGGCAAGTTTGGCGCTCAGCATGTATGGTGCTGTTGCTAGGTGGCAACCTGTTAAGTGTTTTTCACCCTTTAATATTGTAGTCATCAAAACTCATTCTCTAAATGAGAAAACTGAGGCTCAGAAAGGTTAAATATCTTTCCAAGGGCTGGCTGGGGTGGGGATCAGCCACAGGCCTGGCCAGTGCGGTTGGAGGTAGGAGGCGGGGTCAGCCCTGGGCGAGGGCGGCGGGTCGGAAGACAGGGGGTCGAATCAGACCGCCGGCAGGGGTCCGCACCTGCAACCCAGGAAGAGGTGGTTGGCCCAGACCATGGAGAGGGACAGCAGCTGGTCCAGGCGGCCGCCGCCGTCGGGCGGGTCGCGGTAGTCGGGCAGGTGGCGCAGGATGAATTCCATGCGGGCCCTCCATTGCTTCTCGCTCTCCGAGTAGGAGCGGAACTGCTCGGCAAAGTCAGTCGCCTGCCGCACCCCCGAAATCAGCTCCTCCACCGCTGCGGCAGCCTCGCCACCCACCATGGCGCCCTCCGCCGCCTTCCCGACACGCACTGCGCCACCTCCCCGCGGCTAGAGGGGCCCCGGCGGCGCGCGACTGCTCCAGAGGACCGGCCTGGAGCGCCCTCCCCGGGCGCGGCGGCCTGACTGGCCCGGCCCCTCAGACCACCTCAGCTCCGTGGCTCCTGGGCGCAGGGGCGGTCGACCCCGCGGGGAACCGGTAGGGAAACTGAGGCCCCCAACCACGGCACCGGGCGCCCCTCTCCCATTCGACAGTTGGATACCAGCCAGAACTGTGCTGTGTTCTTTCCCTGGGGGTTCTTGGGCACCCGGCTCGCAGACGAATTCCCTCAGTTCTGAGGACTTATATGTGTAGCTGCTCCGGGTCTATCATTGGTTCCCACAGGTCCCAACACCCTACCCAGGTTGTGGCCCACCTTCTCAGAGCGAGTCATCCATCCAGTTAAATACCTGCCAGGCCCTTTGCCAAGTGCTGGGGATGCAGTGAGAGCAAACTCAGAGCCCTGCTCTAATGAACTTTACTATGTCCAAGGGAGGCAGACATTAGTGAAATATCTAATTGCTCAAGTGAAAAATGTCAGTGTTGACAAATTTTCATAAGGAGAGGCCCAGAGTGCTAGGAGCATAAGTAAACAAGGGATCTGGCCGAGATGCGGGGGTCAGGGAAATGATGCTGGAGAGCTGAGAGGTGAACAGGAGATAACTACATAAATAGGAGTAGGCCATGGCAAGACGGAGCCTGCCCTGGTAAGGGAACTACAAGAGCTGGGTGACAAGGTCCAAGAATAAGGGATCACAGAGCAGATGAGGCCACAAAGACCAGTAGGCCATGGTAGGTCCTAAGGGGAATGTGGAGCCACTGATGGATTTTAACCAGAGCAGTGATGCCTGTGTTTCCAAAAGAGATTGGAAGGAGCCAGAATGGATGAGTCCAGAGATGAGCAGGTGAGCTGCTGAGAATGTTTGTTTAGGGTCAGGTAACAAACTACCTGAGAGACAGAAAAGCTCTGTTTTAAGTGGTGCATTTCCCATCCTTGAAAGCATTCAAGTACAGTAACAAGGAAATCACTTGAGCCTCCAGCAGCCTTGAGTTCTTCTTCACCTAATAGGCTTCCTCATCATTCCCCATCAGCTGTGGGGTAGAGTACAGAGCTGGGCCTTGAATTCAGGATTCAGGGCTCCAGTGTAGGCCCTATGTTGTGAGTGGAGCTCAAGGCAGAGCTAACTGTGTTCTCTGCTGCTTCTGCAGCTTCTGATAGGACATCAGGGTCCCCAGCAGGCAGAAACCCCAGGCAAAATGGAAATACCAGGCAGTCTTAATGAGTAGACTGTGCTTCCAGATCCAGCACCAGGCCCAGTAACATCTCATTATTTTTAACAAAAGGGAGGCATGCTATTCTCACCCTGGTGAGCAGAGAGAAAGTGAACAGGGCTATGAAACTAAATCCAGACTCAGCTTCTCTACAGCAATCAGAAATAGGTGCCTGGAGCTGGGACCCCCAAAACGGTACAAATCACATCTCCTGAGGAGCCTGATAAAATAGCAGATTCCCAGGCCCATCTCTGGATGCTCAGAGCCAAGGCCCTAAGTAATCGATTCACCTGAGGCTGACCAAACTTTGAAAAATACTTGATGTTGATAAGCGTTCTCTGAACCAAATTCTTGGTCAGAGAATTATGTGGTGGAGAGGCTGGCCGAGAAATAGGAACCTGGGATCTGTGACCAGCAGCTGCAGCTACACACCATGGGTTGGGGGCGGAGAGGGGGAGGTGCGAAAAAGCTAAGGGGTCATCCAGAAAGTAGCTTATTTAGCATCATCTTTAACACTAATGGGACATAAGCATATATGTACCAACATATAAACATACTGAGACATGCATGTAGGTTATAAGAACCCCAAAGTGCACAATAGATATTTTTTAATAATATGCTTTCAAAATATGAAGTAGTCTAGAAATGTTAGTATTAACATTTTATAGGATCCTGTGTCAAATTACTGCCCAGTTTATTGTTTCTAATTTGTTTTTATGATTCAGCTTTTCACAGAGTGGAGCTTTTACTTGTATAGATGGATCAGTTTTCCTACCTCATTTTTTTAAGCATCTTTGTTGAGATGCAATTCACATACTATAAAATTCGCCCATTTGAAGTATATAATTCAGTGATTTTGGTTTAGTCCCATATTTGTGCAACCATTAAAACAAATATGGGACATTTTTATCACCTCAAAAATAAAGCTCATACCCATTAGCAACCACTCCCCTTTCTCTCCAGCCTCTGGCAACAATAAGCTACTTTTTGTCTATATAGATTTCCTATTTTGCATATTTAAAATAAGTGAAATCATACACCATGTGATCTTTTATGACTGGCTCTTTCACTTACATATTTTCTAGGTTTATCCATGTAGCATTGTCAGTACTTCATTCCTTTTCATGATTGAGTAATTTTCCATCATATGAATACACCTCCTTTTGTTTATCCATTCATCAGTTGCTAGACTCTTGGGTTGTTTCTACATTTTGCCTATTATGAATAATGCTGCTATGAATATTCACATACAAATTATTGTGTGGACATATGTTTCCAACTTTCTTGGATATATAGTGGATGGCTTGATCTATGTTTAACTTTTTCAAGAACTTACAGATTGTTTTACACAGCATCTATACCATTCTACATTTCTACCAGCAGTGGAGATTTCCAATTTTCCTACATCCTCGTCAACACATTATTTTCCCCTTTTTTGATTATAACCATTTTAGTGGATACAAAGTGGTATCTCATTGTGGTTTTATTTTGTTTTTCCCTATGCACTAATGATACTGAGCATCTTTCATATGCTTATTGGCCATTTGTATATCTTCTTTGGAGAAATGTCTATTCAGATTCCTTGCCCTTTTTAATTGACTTTGTTTTTAGAGGAGTTTTAGGTTTACAGAAAAGTTGAGAGAAAAATATGGAGAATTTCCATATGGCCCACCACCACCACCACTACACACACACACACACACACACACACACACACACACACACACACACTCCTCCACTATCAAATTCTCACTCTAGAGTGGTATAGTTGTTGAACTGACACATCGTTATCATCCCAAGTCCATAGTTTACATTAAGGTTCACTCTTGGTGTTGTATGTTCTATGGATTTTGACAAATATATAAAGACATATATCCACCATTATAGTAACATACAGAATAGTTTTACTGCCCTAACAATCCTAAGTATCTTTTGAGGAGGAAGTTTTTATTTCGATGCAGTCCAATTTATTTTTTCTTTTATGAGTCACTTTTTGGTCCTGCCTAAGAAATCTTTGTCTAATCTAATGACAAAGATTTTCTGTTTTCTTCCAGAAGTTTTATAGTTTTAGATTTTACATTTAGGTCTATAATTCATTTCAAGTAAATTTTTGTATATGATACAAGACATGGGTTGTCAAGAGCAGTAAAAAAGGATATAAGATTTTACCCTACTTGCAAGCTAACAAATTACCCTGCCACAGTTCAATGGATGCTGGACATAAGCCTCCTAAGACAGAGACAAAAACTTTATTACAGCACAACAGGTAGCATGAGCTTCATGTTCACATTGGCTCTCCTTGTCCTTCAAGTTCCACAGGGGTTATGCCAAAAGGCCCAGGTGGATGAAGTACAAACAAGTTCACACAGTAGGTCTGTATCACAGCTGAAGAACCACAAGCTTAGGGAATATCAATTTTTTATAAAGGACAGCAAGCAAACCTGCCCAAATTTTGCCCCAGAGCAATATATTACCTTTTTATCTGGACAGTAAACAAACTTGCCCTTTGCTCTAGAGGTAGACATTATCTCTAGGCTGTTTTGTGGGCAAATATCCTTGAAAAGACAGTCTGGAGCAAAAGGAGAGTTAGTATCTAATTCTTACAGTGTTCAGGAACATGGGATACCCATGGAGAATTACCTCCAAACGTAGTTTGAGATTCTCTCTCTCTCTCTCTTTTTTTTTTTTTTTTTGCATATGGTTATGTAATTAATTGGTCTAGTACAATTTTTTGAAAAAACTATCCTTTTTTCGTTCAATTACCTTGATACCTCTGTCAAAAATCAATTGGCCATATATGTGGTGAGTCTCTTTCTAGACTCTCTATTCTGTTCCATTGGTCTATGTGTCTATCCTTTTATCAATACCATACCGTCTTGATTACTGTAGCTCAAGTGTTAGCCAACTTTTTCTATAAAGAGTGGGCTACATATAATCCCTGTTGCATACTTTTCTTTGTTTCTTTTTAAATTGTTTAAAAATGTAAGAAAGCATTTTTAACTTGTGGGCTTTTTAAGAATAGACTGCAGGCTAGATTTGGCCCACGGGCCATAGTTTGCCAACCTGACTGTAGCTTTATAGTCTTAATATCAGATCATTTGAGTCCTCCAATTGTGTTCTTTTACGAAATTTTTTGAGCTATTTCAGTTTATTGCTTTTCAATACAAAATTTAGCATTAGTTTGCCAATTTCTAGAAAAACAGGCTGCTGGGATTTTAATTGGAATCGTATTGAATCTATGGATCAATTTGGGGAGAATTAACATTGAACAATATTGAATCATCCAATCTATAATCATGGTACATCTCTCCTTTTATTTAAGTCTTACTGATGTGGTATATTTTAAAATCCAGTGAACTATTAGATTTGTATGCATATTTACCATTTTATTCTTCATTTCTTCTCTATCTCTTAGTTTGAATCTGGTTTCATTTTCCTTCTACCTGAAAGTTCTGTTAGCATTTTCTTTAGTACAGGTCTGCCAGTGGCATGCTCACTTTTTGTCAATCTAAAAATGACTTTATTTTGCCTTCTGTATTAGTTATGTGGCTGCATAACAAATTATTCCTAAATTTAATGACTTAAATTAGGAATGCAGAAGGGGCTTAGCTTGGGGTCTCTGATGAGGTTTCAATTCATTGTTGACTGATGCTTCATGTGTGTGAAGGCTTGTTTAGGATTAAAGGCGCCACCTCCAAGATGGCTCACTTACATGGCTATTTGCCACAGGTCTCACTTTTGC